TCATCTAAGTCCAACGCCCTGCAATGCAGGAATCATTTGCCCAATATGGGGCTCAAACCCACAGCCCTGAGATTAAGAGTCTCATGCTCTTGCCAACTGAACTATCACAACATAGCTCTCTATGTGCATACCCAGCTTTCTTCCAAGCACACCTAGAGGGGGCAGTTCAAGCCCTGATCTTGTCACGAACTAGAAGCAGTTTATTCAGAGTCTACAAAAGACACTTTCAAGCAGGTCTGGAAAGCCACCCCAAGAAGGGCAGGGAAAAATCATGCCATGGATGGCATGGTATCCTACCTACAACAGGAACAAGTGTTCCCAATGCCCTGAGGAGACACTGCAACTAAAAAACCACAAACACTCATCCAAAACATGAGTGCCAACAACTGTAGTTCAAACAACCCCCACAGAGCACCAACAGACAAAGTGATAGTGCTATGTTTCACAGCAATTAGGACCTGGCAGCTGTCATTCATACTTCTGCCACCTCATTATTGAACTAAAGCAATGTATTTGGGGTGAGGGGGCTGCCCTTGAGTTTTGGAAAGTTGATCTGGGGCAGAACATAGCAGATGGACTTCTTTTTTGTTTTGTGTCTTGTTTTTAATTTTCTGTTATTATACATATGATCTTTCTCCTTCTAAATTGATTTGGATAAAATTATTTTGAGAGAGAGAAATATATACCACATTGCTGGGACCGCAGCAGCTTACTGGAGATAGAGCTCAGCAAGTAAACAACGGGATAATATGAACCACAGAATATGAAGGTAGACTGGAATGCTGAGTAGCTTGCCCTCATATAACCAGGCTGCCAGAGAGCAACCCTTAAATGAATTAAGTTGAGTGCAAAACCTCTGGCTTAAGTGATTTGTGGCACACACCTTTCATCTACTCTCCCAATTGTAACAGGGTTTGGTTTTTTTACAGGGTTTTTTGTTTTGTTTTTTGTAAAGCAGAAGTAATTCAAACCTGATTAGTTTCTTCATCGTTTTTGTAGGAAACTGTGATGTTGGAATATATTAGCAATCAAAGTTCAGGCTAATCACAGTTCTTCCCATTTAGAGGTTATTTGTATTCAATCAAATTTGCACCTGGAAGCCTTTGCACAGAGTGCTCTTATGTGCTGGGTCTTACATGCTATCAAGGCAATAAATAGTAATATGGGGAGATGCATTGTTATATTGCATTTAGCCAGTAAAGAGACAGTGACTAACATACGGTATGTATAAAATGGGTTGGCTCACGGAATGTTGGAGATTTAACTTTTCTACTAATTTTGTTATAACTGGGGATATATCTATAAATGCTCAGCTAAGCCATAGCAAACTCAGCCCAATAAAACATGCTTTACTGGGCCAAGGATGAGATTTCACTAGCATACTTCCTTCTGCTCAGTCCTTACCCCAGGTGCTGTAATGCAGAACTTCCAGGGTTTGTTGATTGGGAAACTATGGTTAAATCTCCACCCCAAACCATGATTTGATCCATTCAAATGGGGTGGAAGGAGCAGAGAGGGATGGGAAAGGGCAATGGAAATTTACTTGTAATGTGTATCCTTTGAAGTTTTTTTTCCTGTTGTTGCATGTTCAGACCCAGAGACCTCCCCGCTAAATAAAGACACATTTCACTCAAATTTTAGTTTTGGTTTTTGGCAGAATTTAGGCCACAACTTTATTGATTACAGAAAAGTAAGTGGTTGCATAGGCTCTGGTGTGGCTAGCTCCCTGAACCCTTGCAGGCAGCGCTGACCCAGGGCACCAGCATAGGTCAGCCAAGGGTGAACACCTGGGTAGGAGAAAAGCTGGGAACAGACTATGTTCACCACCCAGATGCCCCCCTGGACTCAGGCATGGGCACAACCCCCTCTCGGGGGTTGACCAAACCTGGATTCCTTTAACGGAATATCCTTCACATAGGGATGGCAAGACCATTCTCCCATCCCTATCACCTGAACCAGTGCCTATCCGCAACCTTACAAGTTGTGACGATTTGCTACGTGGCAGGCGAAACCCAAATGGCAACAGCCAATCAGCCAAGCGGGGAAATTCCTGCCGTGTCCCTGTCCCAATGACAGATGACACACGACAGCATAGCAAGGTCAATCACAAAAAATGCCCTAAAAGTAAGGAGAGGTGGGTGGGTGTTCTGAATGCATGAGCCAAAAGAGGAAACTCTGGGTCACAGATCCATTTGGACTGTGCCCTATTGGCCAGATTAAACCCAGCATCAAGGGACCTACCAATCGGGTGTTGTGGCTATGCAATCTTACCCACCCACAACACAGGAGGTCGGTCTCCAGGTCTCACTGTAACACATGCCCTCTTTTAGGGAGGACATGATGAAAAGAAAAGCAAGGCACATATAGAGAATAGATGAGGCAAAGCCTAAGAGAGTGTGTTTGTGCGTCAGCTAGTTAATTATTATGTTAAAATGTGTATAGCAAAGAGCCAGATTTTTAAAAGACCATATGTTTAGACTGTTAAAAAAAAATAGAATATCCACAGGAGTTGGTTTTTAAGTTATTAAAAAGATGACATATAGCAATTGAGTTAAATAACTCAATTAGCTCTGAAGAACACCCAAGCGATAATCAGCCTTAGCACTCTCCCTTTGTCTGAAGTTTAGGGTAATAAATAATGCCCGACTAAGAAACATTTAAAAGAATTGTGCTTATAATGCATACTCCAAGGGGAATATGAGAACTTTTGCTATCATTCACCAAGTGTTTTTATATCCATATGCATATTAATGCCTTTTTAATTAATACACAGAAATAAACAACTCCTTAATGAAGATAAGAGTTGTCTAACGATAAAACCAAGAATACAAACAGAATACAAAAAACTAATTTACATTTAGAGAGACTATTTTTCAATATAAAGTGCAGAACTCCCATCTACAAGAAATGTCCGGAAACTAGTGATAGAGGTTCCAATTTGTATTAAAGTCTCAAAGCCAACCAAGGGCAATGAACTCCCTTTTTTTTTTTTTTGTATGTGTGTTAAGATTTTATTTATTTATTTTTTCATGATACAGTATGGGAAAAAATATGTAAATAAACAAAAACAGCTACAAAATGCAAAACTAGAATATGGAGTCCTTTTTAAAAGGTTGTTCTTAACCCTTACAACCCACAGAAGGTAACAGTCCCTCCCCGCTCTTATCTGAGATCTTTCCTTTCTCCTCCCAGCCCCCCATCCTGGGAGACCAATGTTTCTCTGCCTTCTACCCCAGGCCCTCCATCAACCATCTACCACCCCCATGAATGTACAATCCCTGGACCCTAATAAAGGCCCCAAGTAGAGGACATCAATGAAGAAAGAAAGGGGGGGGGAGAGAGAGAAGGAAGAGAGAAAGAGAGGCAAGAAGAAGAAAGAGAAAGGGGAAAAAAGGAAAGGAAAGGAAAATAAACAAGAAACAATAAAGAACAAGGTCTTCCGATTTTCCATCTGCCAGTTACACAAAACCAAGGTCAGTGAACAGCCTGGCCCTGGAAATACCACTGACATCAGTGATAAAGAAGCTAGAACTGTCCCTGGTCCTGAAGTAAGGGTTACAACAAAAGAATAAAAACTTATCAAAACAGATAGGAGCAACCTTGGGGCAGGCTGAGCCAAGCAGAGGCCTCAGAGGTCAAACACATCCGAGGGACAATTCTGAGTTACTTCTTAGTCTTGTTCTCTCAACATTAAAGTGGGGGATGAGGACAAGGGAGTTTTCTAGCCTCTGACCACTTTCTGGAACTGATGAGTGCTGTTCAATACAAAATGAGTGGCCTGATCCACAAGACAAAACTTAACTCCCTGCCACTGCAGTGTATCTGGGGCTATAAAGAATGGCCATATGAAAAGCTAGTGCAATGGCCCATCAAGCCAAGTACTGTCAATCCAGAATGAACGAAGCACCATTGAATTTCCAGAGGCCTTTCTCCGCCTTTCTAAGAGAAATCCTTCAACACATATCAGCATCTAGCTAGGGACCTCATAAGTACAAGATGTTTCAACTCACCCAATGAGATACAGCTCAGCAGTGTAAATGCCTCTTTGGAATGGAAAGCATGGCTCCATTTGGCTTCCAACAACCTGGAAACTAGTTCAGGTGTTTCAGGTCTTGGAAGTTGGATGGAGCATTACAATGAACCTCTTGTACCGCAGAACGGCAAAAAGAGCCTCTGTAGTTGATCACAGTGAGCAGGCTAGTATATATGGGATAAGGAGAGGTCTCAGATGATCTGGCCCTGAGTTATTTAATTATATAATAGTAAGACCTTAAATAGGGACGCGGGTGGCGCTGTGGGTTAAACCACAGAGCCTAGGACTTGCTGATCAGAAGGTTGGCGGTTCGAATCCCCGCGACAGGGTGAGCTCCCATTGCTCGGTCCCTGCTCCTGCCAACCTAGCAGTTCAAAAACAAGTCAAAGTGCAAGTAGATAAATAGGTACCGCTCGGGTGATGAAGGTAAATGGCGTTTTTGTGCACTGCTCTGGTTCACCAGGAGCAGCTTAGTCATGCTGGCCACATGACCCGGAAGCTGTCTGCGGACAAATGCCGGCTCCCTCGGCCAATAAAGCGAGATGAGCGCCGCAACCCCAGAGTCGGTCACGACTGGACCTAATGGTCAGGGGTCCCTTTACCTTTACCTTTAAGACCTTAAATTTGGCTCAGTAGCATATTGGCAGCCGGCGCATTTCCCTCAGCGCTAGTGTTACATGCTGACAGATGGCAACCTTGGCCACAAGCTGTAAATAACCAAATAGATTCTCATAAATATATTAAAGGACAGTATGCTGCAACACATTTTGACCAGGGATGTGCAAAACCCCTCTCAGAAATTGCATTGATTTTATCAAAACTCTAAAATTCCTCAGATGCTGCTCCTGAGGAGCAGCCAATAGGCTTACTTCTAATTTCACCTAAAGCACAACTGTGATGGTAATAATTATATGAATGATATCAGCTCTTCATTACGGAAAGCCTTTGTTCAACAGTTTCCACTTAATTTCTCTGAGACATCTATATTCTGCAACATATTGTCTCTGCAAGCATCACATCTGCCCATTGATTCCTTTCTGCTTTTGAAGAACCTGTAAGAAACATCACGAAAGCCTCTTAAATAGAACAAATGTAAGAAAACATTTTCGTATTCAAACAATGTAGGTTATCTTACTTCAACCTATTTAGAAGTCTAGCCACACAAAATGGCGGGTGGATTAGCAGAAGACAAAACATATTTCTCAAGCATTGAAATCATACAGTACCAAAGTTGCAAAGTTGCAAAGCAACTGCACTAATTCTATGGAGCTAAGCAAAGAATGTGAACAATTCGTCCTGAATACTTGTTAAGATATTTTTTTAGAATTCCTCCTCAGTTTTCACAAGCTTAGGATTTTCCTTTCTGTGAATATTTTATTGGAAATCAGCTATTAGCAGAGCACTGGGAGGACAAGTTCAAGCAAACAGTGAACCCAGTCAGTCTACTGGGAACTGACTACATGCAAATTGGACCCAGGCCCAATTCTGGCTGCTGAAAACCAGCCAGGAGAAGCTTGGTCTTTTGACACCTGGCGTTATCAACACCTTTACTCCAAAGGAAAGGGTGCTAGACAGCAGCTGCTCACACTCGAAACACGCACTAATCTTTCTTTTATGGAAAGATGATTGCATATCTGAAAACTGCAGGAGCCTGGATGAGGGCAACCAAATTAAAGCCAAATCCAGGTGAATTAATTATTGTTAGGGGAATTGAAATAACCACCATTGGCAAAGAGGTAGAATAAGAAAGCTTTTCCTCTTACTGCAACATTGCATTTAGAATTGCAGGTTAGAATGGTGGCCAGGAATGAGAAATAGGCAAACATAACCACTTTGAAGTTTTGTTTTTTTTACAATCCAGCAGTATATAAATTTTATGAAATAAATAAATGATGACTAAATAAATAATCCATAATCTCATGGATAGGTTTCCTGTGATACTATATTCATGACTAACTTCGAAGACGGTTTGGAGGCTGCTGCACTTTTGGCAACACTAACTCCCTGAATTCCGACTTCCTAAGTGAATACACCTTGCTTGGGGTTTCGGGCACAATGCAAAGTTCTGGATTCAATAGACAAGGTCCTAAATGCTATTATAAGCCACTCCTTCCATGGGAACATATTAAACTGCCTTACACTGAGTCAGGCCAATGGGCCATCTAGTTTGGCCATGTCTACACTGACTGGCAATGGCTCTCCAACATTTCAGACACGAGTGCCAGCCCTCTGCTTTAAAAATATTATTACCACTTGTAACTTCCTGGATGGATCGAGTTAAAATCCTAAATAATGAAATAAACAACACTAATGACTATGATAAGGTCACTCATGGGAGCATGTAAATAAACTGGCACAGGGACACTTCAAATGTTTTGTAGCTTCCCTGGAATTGCATGGGGTTATTGGCAACCTGGTTTTCCCAGTAGTGATGTATGGAAGTGAGAGCTGGACCATAAAGAAGGCTGATTGCCGAAGAATTGATGCTTTTGAATTATGGTGCTGGAGGAGACTCTTGAGAGTCCCATGGACTGCAAGAAGATCAAACCTATCCATTCTGAAGGAAATCAGCCCTGAGTGCTCACTGGAAGGACAGATCCTGAAGCTGAGGCTCCAATACTTTGGCCACCTCATGAGAAGAGAAGACTCCCTGGAAAAGACCCTGATGTTGGGAAAGATGGAGGGCACAAGGAGAAGGGGACGACAGAGGACGAGATGGCTGGACAGTGTTCTCGAAGCTACCAGCATGAGTTTGACCGAACTGCAGGAGGCAGTGGAAGACAGAAGTGCCTGGCGTGCTCTGGTCCATGGGGTCACGAAGAGTCAGACATGACTAAACGACTAAACAACAACAACATTGGCAACCTTAAGACCAGGCTGAAATTGCATGGAAGCATCAGATGTGTGAGCTAGCGCCTCCATGTCAAAGCCACATGCATGGCCAGCACACAATAATAGCAGCCACACTCATACCTGACACCAGGTGGAGGCATCATTTGATATATCCAGTGTATCTCCAGCAGGGACAGCCCAGGCATTAGGCAAGGTGAAGCCATCGCTTCGGGCAGCAGAGCTGACTTTGTACTGAATTGCACCACAGGAGAAATTTGGTGGGAGGGTCAAGCTGCAGAAATCTTTGGGGACAGGGCTTTTTTCCAGCTGGAACTTGCTAGAACTCAGCTCTGGCACCCCTCAGGTGGGCACCATTGCCATTATAAGAGAACAAGGAAAGTGTTAATGGTGAATTCTGGCATCTCTTTTTCTGGAAAAATAGCACTGCTCGGGAACAATTTCAATGATCTCAAAGTTTCAGCTTCAAATGAAAATGACAGGTGCATTGCCAAAACAGAACCTCCCAAATTCCCTGTGAATTTTGCTTTTGCTGAAATTAGGTAGCAACCTGAGAGGAGACTATTATTTCCCTATTGAACGTACACCGGGGGTGGTGAGGGAGACGTGTGCCAACCCAGTAACAGCAGCACCAATTTGACCAACTCTAGTTTGTCAGTTGATTCCGAAAAGCATTCTATTGACAAAGCGCTGTGCATAAATGAATGTTGATGTTGACAATAATAGCAGAAAAGCAATCATTATGCATTGTTCTCGTGCAGTGAACCGACTGACTTCTGCAGAGACATCTTTTGTGATGTATTTTACAGAGTTCAGAGGGGGGCAAGAACTTAATCACATTCACCAGAATGCACCTTTCCCCATCTTCCTTTTCCCAGAAACAAATGAAACCCACATCTTCGTACTTTTATTTTATTTTATTTTGCCTGCCACTGTTTTGCCATTCCCCCCCAACAAAAAAAAAAAAAAACACAAGTACCAATCTTCTATTAATGTTTACTAAGCAGTTTACAATGGATTGGTTCGGTCTTTGCCTACAAAAGCATACCACAAACTTATTTTAGAGGCCAAAAGCACCCAAATACCACTTTAGATGAATCTGAATTTGGTTTAAGCAAAACATCTTCATGAACCATGGTTTGAAGTTGTCTTGTTTCAAACCACCCTTAGTTTCAGTAAAACTCAATTTGTTACAGCAGAAAATACAAAGATACATAGGAAGTTTCGCACAACGTTCTAAAAAGAGCATTTCAGAAAACTACTTCCTTATGTTCTTCTCAACAACACATGAAGACTTTTTGTTCTTAAGAGCTTTCCCCAGCTATTGCTGTCAAGTTCCTTAGTTATTGGCTGTAATGGTGGTTTAACTTAAATATTTATGGTATGCACATTTCATTGTTGTTCTTAGCTTTTAATTTTTAATTTTCATTGCCAATTGGGTATTTTTATAAACACAATGTGTTTTTCTCAATATGCATTAGCTTTCAAGAGGGAGAGCAACTACAAAACACAATGCATACATTTGAGACAAAAACATGTGGCTCAATGTTGAACTGTACGCATGGCTGGGAAATAATGAGGGGATATTCAAGGTAACTGCAGGATGCAAACATTTGACAGCCAGATGAAAAGAGCAGCAATCTTATTTCCTGTTGGGGATGTATGGAAAATACGGCCATGCAAACAAAAGGTACCCTAAGGTAGTTCTAGCTAGGCCACTAACCAGCATTGGCACAGCAGGGCAGACAGAAACCTTGGCAAGGCTTTTGAAAAAAAAGTCCCCTAGTAACGTTCCAATTCAAAGACTATGGCTTGCTGAATCACAGCTGTGTGTCTGTCTATGTGGTTCAGAGGAGCTGAAGATTGCCTGCAAATGCCTATAACCCGCTGCCAAAAAATCAACTGCAAAAGTCATAATGGGAAGAAGTAAAACCAAAGTAGAGCCACAGAGATGTTTTTCTGAGATGATCAGCAGAATAAACATGCTACTTTTCCATGTTCAGGAATCTTGGTTTGTGTGAGGGAGAATTCTATCATGTGAACCCATACCTGTTCTCGGAAGTGGTTACTATCAAGACATAGTTTACCACCTCTGCAAGAACTAGATTTCTCATTTTAAAGGCTTATCCACATTTGAGCAGAATTTAGCTGTTAATCCACCTCCCCTCCCCATTTGAATTAAACCAGAGAAGTTTACATCTGCATTTATTTGGATTTACGATTAGCAACATTTGTCTTTTCCATTCATACCAACAGGCATTCCCTTTTGCGTTTCCCCCTGCCTTCTAATTTGGTGATTTTATTATGTCCACAGGTGCTGAGTTGCACCTAACATTGGGGGGAGGGGCTGGTGCCATGCACGCAGTGAGTGCATTGCATGTGTGACGACTGCTGCATCATCGTCCTCCCAATGCAACATTTGACCACCAGGCTGTGTTGTGTGTGTCCGGGCAACCTCTCCTGATGGGAGACGCAGCGCAGCCAGGAGCGACATCCCGCCAAACTGTGCAGCATCTCCCAATTAGTGAAATCCAGCTTTCCACCTCCCCACACCCTGGTGTTGTCATTAATAGCACTTTGGTGACATCTGGCTGACCTTTTCAGAGACTGGTTTGAGGTCTAGATATCGGCACCGAGCCTAATATGTATCTGGTGGGTCCACTGAGCCTGGTATGTAGCTATTGTACCTGCTTTGATGTGATTCAGATTTGGTACAAATCGACCCAATTTGATTCAGGATTTAGACATGGCCCTACTCTGGAGAAAGCCTGTTGTAATTAATATACTTTTATGAATTTTAATTGGTCTGATCCATTGCACAATGGTTACTCACTTATTTAAGGGCTTTACCACTCTTTGAAATTGTTTTATATGTTGCTCTTATGGTTTGCAGTTACAACTGCAAAAGTTTTGAATGGGGTTTTTATTCATTTAAAATTATTCAGTTATTGGTGTTATTTCATTTTATTAAATGGAAGCTGCTATGGATGTAAATTGTTTACAAAAGGGGGGATATATTAACTGATTAAACACACCAAATTAGGCTGGGCTGGTTAAATAACCAAAGCTGCAATGTGCAGTTTTTTGCTGGTTGCTAATGTCAAATTCAGCCTATAGTAAGACATTGAATAATTGGTAGGTTTCTGTTATTCCTCACCCTCCTCTCCTCCTCAAAAATAAATAAATGACCACATGTCTAACC